CACGTATAATTGCTTTTAGGCATCCTGCCCAAGTGTCTTGTGATGTATCGGTCTCCACAATTAGAAAATCGTCGATTTTTGCATTATATAAAGTGGGGAGAACTTGAATTTTTTGTTTTATACTTTGTACCAAAATAGTATCTGTATTGGTCCAAGACCAAGGTATTTTTTCTGATATTTTCTTTTGTAAAACTTTTCTTTCTTTTGCTAAGTTTTTCAAAAACCCTTGTTCTGCAATATAATTTAAACAACCAAGGAATCGTCGTATTTGTTTTCTATTTTCAAGTTTATCAGGAAACATATTTAATTTTTCTCGTATATTGTCTGTTAACGATAATTGACCATTTTCTCCAATTTTTAAACCGAGATATTCAACTGTAGATTGAAAAAGTTTTGATTTCTTTTTTGATAAAACTAAACCTTTTTTCTTTAATTCTTTGTAAAACCTTGATGACTGCATCAATGTGTGTTTGTTCATTTCCTTTTGTAAAAACAATTATATCATCAATATATACAAGACAAATATGATTTAAACCATTTAAAGTTTCATCCATGAATCGCTGATATATTGCCGGTGCCTGTTTTAAATCGAATGGAAGGACATTCCATTCATAGTGCTTCTGAGGAGGACATGAAAAAGCGGTTAGTGGTTTCGTATTTTCATGTAAGCGTAATTGCCAATATCCAGATTTTGCATCAAATGTACTAAAATGTGTGTTTCCTTTTATTTTTCTAAAATATATTCTTTTCGTGGTAATTTATATGAGTCTCCTATAGTAGCATCGTTCATTTTTTTATAATTAATTACCATTCTTCGTTTTCCCCGTTTTATTTCATTATTATTTTCTACATAGAATGCAGGTGCAGAATGGGGACTTGTGCTAGGTCGAATGATTCTTTTTTCTAGTAGTTTAGTGCATTCTTGTTTAAATTCAGAAACATCTTTTATACTATATGGAATTTTATTTGGAATATTAACTTCATCATTAGAATTTTTTAATAATATTATTATTTCTTGATTATTTCTATTTTTTAAATGATCTAGCGGGTTTTCACTACATACTTCTTCAAGTTGTTTTTCAGCAATTTCTTTAGCGAACGTTAGTAAATATACGTAGTTGAAAACCAACTTCTTGTTTGATTATTTTAATAAGATCAAAATGTTTGATAATTGTAGTTTTTATAATACCTTTTGTCGGGTGATTAAGACTTATATGATCATTTGTTTTTATAAATGGTTGATATAATTTAAGAAAATTATTTCATATTACTAAATCTATTCCTAAATCATATTGATATATAGTTGGAGTTTTAAATTGTGCTTTTTCAATTGTCATTATGTAATTCCTTTACCAGGGTGGTGGATGGTTTTTTTTGAAGGGAGAGGTGGTGGTGGATGTTGTTCGATGGCATGGTATGGTAGATAGAGTAATAGTAGAGAACGTGACAATGACAGTTTCCAACAAGAGCAAAGATGATCAAGATGGAGCCCATCAATGGGGAGAAGGTGAAGGTTACTTGTGACGATGCTAGTGGGAAGGGATAAGGGGGGTGAAGGTGGGATGGTGAGACCCACATATTCTATAAAACAAATTTCTTTTAAAAGATTGAATATAAATAAATTAAAAAAAAATTAAAGTAATACAGTTTTTTAATATTTAAATAAAAACATATAGGAGACGCAATTGCCAAAGAAGACGCAAATAGTTCCAAATCAAAATAATCATAGCTTCTTCTGAGGTCTAAAAATAAATAAATAAATAAAAACATATAGGGAAAGAAATCAAGAACATGTTGACAGTTCTAGACATAGTTCCGATAATAAACAATTGCCAAAGAAGACGCAAATATGACGGTAAGTTTAAAGCTCTGAGCGCCTTTCATCGTAAATTATATAATAAGGGTGACCTAACTTAATGTTGACATGTAATGCAAACAATAATGCAAACAATGATGTTCAACAGTAACGTCAATATGAAAAGAAAAAAAAAAGTCACCTTACCGGGTTATGAGCTGAGCTATCACCGGCTATAATGGCTAAAATGAATAAAAACCAAGTTCAACGACGAATGATATACTATTAAACAAAGTATAATTACTAAATTAAAACACTTAGAAAAATTCATTCACTAAAAATGACCTAAAGACGCCGTTCATAGTTACGTCAACAACCAGGTCATGAAGAACCAATTATTACCGGTAATGATGGCGAAAATGAATGAAAAACAAATTTTATAACTAGGCTCGACCCTGAAGGTGGGCAACCTGTGCAGTCGTCCATGACTCATGTCTCTAAGGGGCCCAAAATTCATAGAGTATATGGTATAATTATATAAAGAAAAATCTAACTTATCTAAAAATGTTATGAGAAGTTTTTTCTTTAAATTAGTTGTTTTTGTAATGTTTTCACGATATTTGTGTTTTTTAATATTAATTGACAATTTTATAACGGCATGTTTATTTTTTATTAATTTTTATTATATTATGATTTTGGGGTCCATTTTCTCTTTTCGCTGGGCCCACTATATCTTTGGACCCGTTCTATTCATGATCAATGATCATTAAACAAAATATAATAACTAAAATACAACACTCATAAAAACTCAGATCCCTAAAATGACCTGCACCATCTTTGCATTACTTAATGAGTTAATGTGCAATTACTTAATGTGCAAGTGAACACGAATGAGAACAAAAAGAGCGACGCAAAAAGAACCCACGTTTTAAACACTCTACAATGTCGATAATTACTAGGAAACAATTAAAAGAATAATAATAACAAGAGGAAGAAAAAGTGTTCTGAAAGGTAACATACAATTTACAATTATAAGCAAGGTTATTTTCGAATTAGACCCTCATGTTTGAATATTTGGTTTATTGTTGTTATGGGCAAAACCAAATTTTTTCTAGAAGACTTTTTTGTTTTAGTGCGTATATAAAAGTGGATCTAGTTTAAACAAGTGGAAATTAGAACATCAACATTAATCACTTAAAAATTCTACTAAGTCATTTATTGAAAAAAAATCTAGACTTAAATAACTAAAGTGTCACTTACATGGCAATGGTAAAAAATAAAAAAAAATAAAAAAAATAAAAAAATAAAAACTTATAGACCACATATATAATATAGAAAAATTTTATATCATTAAAAAGTAAACTAACAAACTAACAACACCAAAAAAAAATTAGACGGTCATGTCCCATATAATTGGAGGTAACATGTGAGGTAAGATTTAAATAAATGTATATATGACAAAGACTATTTCAAAGAAGATTGACCTAAGAAATATTAACGCACAATGATGAACATGAGGGGAATAAAATAGAAAGCATATACTAACAATACTGACTGAAAATAAGTGAAGAGGCACACATAAGGCTAGAGGGAGTGGTTCGGCACCACCCCTCGATAAGCTTAGGTGGACAACTTGGCACCATAGGAACACCGTGCCATGACTGTTGCATGGCAAGCAACTGGACAATCTCTTGTAGATAAGAGAGAAAATCAAAATTAAATATTTACCTATTAATTTACCAATAATTTAGAAAACGTTATGACAAATCATCCTTTCTAAATGGCAAAATGAACATTGATTTGTGGCAAAACTTAGGTGGCATGCAAAATAATGATGTGACAATACAACATGACACCACCAGCCTAAGAGTGTAATAACGATCTAAACCCCCACAAACATCATAAACAAAAACTAGGGATTTATTTCTTACTTTATTATCCTAGGGAAGGTTAGTGTGGGCATTACAAATGGTACTTTTATTGTTTTTTCTTTCACTATGATTCTCCATAAGGCGTTTGAGGAGTTGAATCGCCTCATTCCCCGAACTTCCTAACATAAAACCAAAATGATTTTCTAAGAACCGTCCAACATCCACAAACTTTGAAAAAGAAACTAGGGCTTTTTTCTAAACTACTCTATTATCATATGGCGGGTTCGGTGTGAGTCATGCAAATGGTACAGTTTACCATTTTTTTTATTTTCTTTCTCTATAGTTCAACCATAAGGCGATTGAGGAGTTCGATTGCCTCAATCCTTGAAATTCCTGACATAAAGTCAAATTGATTTTTAAAACTTTTGTTTACCGTCGGATCCTGTTCCCATCATTCCCCGACCCGCACACATTGTAACGATATGACTATGTATCTTAATACCTCGATAGTTATTGCAACTTTAAACATATTGTTTTCTCTTGGTTGTCTTTAAAATTATGTTAAAGAGAATCACCATCCACTAAACTCTCTTCTCCTCCAAGCACTACCACGGAATGGCAAGCATCTAGTTAGAACATACGACTTAATCCCTCACACCCTTCTTAATGCTCTATGCACTTGACTTTCATTTTTTGTGTAGAAACACTCATTATACGTGTGTTGCTCTCCACTACCCACTACATTCCTATTACTCATCAATGAAGTTGCCTTATGTTACATATCCAAACCAATCTTTCTAACTCATCGAAAACTTAACATGTAGTACAACACTAGAGTAAATATAATCAATGTTACAAATTTGTTTCTCGTTATTATAATATTGTAATATTGATGGACAGCATTGAACATATCGTATATTCAGCATAAGTTCTATAATTTCCAAGCTCGAATTACGGCATAGCCTTTATGCATTCACAACAATACACGTACTACTAAAAATACAAAAAACATAAATTCTTTTTCAACTCCTATCTACATCATAAAAAATCAAAATTATTTAAACCCCCTTCAGACTTGTCACTTGTGAAGGCCCCTAGGGCCACAAACGAGTAGCCCATGAGGCTAGAAAGGGTCGCCACGAAGTACGAATGAATAAAGATATTTCAAAAATAACATATGGTCAAACTCAAACTCCAATTTTTTTAAATTTAATAAAAGCCACCTACAAAGACCCACATATGTGATATGAACAAAAACATTTAAAATGCCACTTAATATCTTATATATCACCAAACAAATATACAAACATTTATTTCATTTAATTATAAAGGTAGCACAGTTTTTTTCTATTGTATAAAAGTACAATACCACTATTCATCTACCACAAAAACTATAATTACATGTTTACATTCATAAAAAAAACGTATAAACACACTCCAATATTATTTTTGACAGTTTTACACCCTTTACTTTTTCCTACTTCCATAACTACTTACTACTTTGTTGTAGACACTTTCTAAACTTCTTTTTTATCATTATTTCCTTTTTGCCCTTTCGAGACTAGAGATATTTCCACTAAATTATAGGGGCTGCTTCTTTGTACAAATGGAGGAGGTAAAGGGTAATACAGGTATTTCCTACGAGAAAGTGGGTGAGGGGTGCATTCTGTAGAATGTGGAGACTATATGGACTTTAGAGTAATTTATCAAAAGTCTAGGGGGGCTGTTTAGTATTCTATGATTAGTCCTCCCATTGGTGCTCTGTGAGGAATACCCTTTCTTCTCTTTGCCGTCCTGAAGCTGGCCGCCGTCGGCGGTGGCGTTGACGGAGTAAAGCTGTGAATATGAATTCTGCCATTATAGTTACTCCTCCGCCGTCCAAGGTTGCTACTGCTGTATGAATCCTCCGAATCCGACATTGCCGTTATCAAATGCTTATTCTCCGGCGAAATCTTCCTCTTCCTCTCGAAATTACTCGATGTCCCTGTAATCTGCACAGATCAAAGTAACGAAATTAATCATCGATTTGTAGAGAAAAAATATTAAACCGATTGAATTTCTTTTGGGTTGATCGTATTTACCTTACACCCAAGTGAGCAGAAACGGAAGGAATCGAGAAGACTACGCTCACATACTTCACAAGTATTCGTAACGCCTTTTCCCGGCCGCGGCTGCGGCCGTTCATTCAAGAACACCACCTTCGCACTGTTGATTACGTAGGTCTGTACTGAAGTTATGTCCAAGTGTTTCTGAATCTCATTTACCCTAATCACATCGTGATATGATGACCTTCGAATCTGTAGATTATTCAACAAAATACCCAATTCGATAATCAATGATCGGTTTTCAAATTCAAATTAGTTGAAATAAGCTGTTAGTACACGAAACTCGGATGTTCAAACTTCAAATTAGGTGAAAAGAGCGAGAATCGATAAAAGTGGAAGAATCAATGCGAAAAGAGGAATACAAACCTGAATGGCGCGGTGGTCCTTATGGTGATTAAGACAGAGAGAACAGAGAGGACCATTCATGCAATCCAAGCAGTACATATTACATTCAGACTTATGCGAATCCACATGTAATTTGCAGTGAACAAAGAAGCTTTCACGAAGCAATGGCTTCAACCATGGAGGCCATTTGTTCTCTTCTTCATCAGGTCCTCCAGCACCCTACATTATACATCAATCCCACAAATAAAATGAAACGAAGAGCTCAACACATAGAAAACAAACTTATGATGAATATATGTAACAACATACCATGATACGGCGGTTCTTAGGCTTGATTTCACGGACGACGGAGACTTCTTGGTTTTCAATCGCCAGTTTGACGGCTGAGGAGAGTGGTGGCCGGAGGAAATAGGGGCGGCGGGGTGGAGAATTGAGAGAGAGGAGTGGGTCGTTCTTATCCGCTCACACAAAGTCAGTTTGTGTTGTATAATATTGAAGTAGACAAACCCCGAACCTAACTCCGAACCTAACTCCGAGCCCGAACCTAGGTGAACGTCAGGCGCAAGGAACCGACCTACTTCTTTCCTTTTTCCTATTCCTTTTTCATACCATTTTTTCCAAATATAAAGTTATTTAATTTTGTTTCTTTGAATTATTGTTGCATCAAAATGGTAAGAAAATTCAGGTACTTGCATGTCGATGTTAAGTTTATTTATTTATTTAATTGTGGAAAGGAACTTCCATAACAATGGGGGCTAGTTTTTAGGTACCGATTAATCTTTTGCTACAAACATAAGCTATATCTAATGTTCTGGAGTTATTGTAGACGAACCTTCATAGCCACATTGGATGGATAGTGTCTGAATTTGAATATAGGTCAATGGATAGTGTCAGGATTTATGCACAAGTTATTCACTATATATTTTTTATATCTTACCAGGTCACCACAACTCAAATGGATTATTTTTATTTTTAATAATATATTTTGTTTAATTTGTTAATTAAATGAAAGACCTACTCAAGTAAAACAATATTTGATTTTTGATAACTATGTTTCCTATCTAATTAGAAACATGAAACATAAACCCTTTTTATTGACTTTGAGCTTTAAGGATGGATTTGTTTTTTAATAAATTTAATAGAAACGTATTTTGAAACTAGTGAAATCATGTTTTCAATTTTTTACAATTATAATCTAAAATGTACTTCTTCTATGTTTAAACAATAATTTAATTATTGATTTGAGAAAAGTGGGTAAATGTTGCTTATTTTGAATTATTTTCTATATTGGATAATAATTCCATAGTTTATTACTTTATTTGCTAGTGCAAAAAGAAGAGGTGGAAAATTATTCTTGTACGATTTTTTGGGGATTTTTTTAGTATTTTATTGCCTTTCATGGTATTGATGCTTGTAAAGCCTTCTTTTTGGCATGCTATTATTATTTTATTGATATTTTAATTATTATAAGGTTGAAATATGGTCTTCACCCTCATTTCCTGTGTTTGTTTCTTGATGGTATTGTTCAAAGCTGCCCCAAATAATGGAGTTCTTCTTTGGAAAGCAAACTTCTTTTTGTTCCAAACACACCCTAAATCAAGCACTTTTAAACCATATCTTAAAAGAGAAAGGATCCTCATATTTATATTTCTATATGTTTGTGATAAGTTGTCAACAGATTTTGTATGGTACACATCCAGAAAAAAAAAACCATAAATTGTGTTATATGTGCAAACAACTAATATTAATAGTAAAATATACCTATTTAAATATAGTTCAACAAGTTTATGGACTTTTTTGTTTAACAAAAAATTAAATAAATAAACTTAACGACTCGTCTGAGAAAATTAAGAATACGATTACTTTTACAATCAATCTCCCATTTAATTTTATTGAATTGTCGGAAGGATTATTTTTTACCCATATATATGGTTCATTATATATATGGTTCATTTGGTATGTATGCTAAAAATGAAATTGAAGAATTTTGATAAATAAAAAAAATGAACACAATTTACATTAAATATTAATCAAAATAATTAACATTATTAATCGGTAAGATAACCTATTATTCTGAAACGGGTCATTTCGAATCCGAACCTATTATTCTGAAACGGGTCATTTCGAATCCGAATTCAGTATGATTACCTGAACAGATAAGTGGCCTTGTACTTAAAGAACTTCCGGAATGTGTTATCCATCACCTTCCCAGAATAACATTCCAGATTCTCTATGTTTGCAAAAAAATGACAGTCGATTTGGAATTTTTTGTTGTTTTATAGATATGTTCTTGCTTCCTTTACTCATTTCTTTTATTATTATGGTGTTAAATACTAAAGAAACACACTCTATAATTAGTAAAAATAGTCTAGAATACGATGAACTAGTCCAAATCATCTCTTTTTTTTTAATTAGAAGACAGATAATGTTTATTATAGGTAATTAGTTAGCCTTAAAATGTCTTAGAAAACATTTATCTATTCTATCAAACCCAATTTTGGACTATATAATTGGTATGTCATGTATGGAATGCGTCGAACACTTCGTAATATGAAAAACTGTCTAGAACTTAAACAAACAGTTTGGAATGTCGTACTCCAAATTGGTGCCACAAATACACATATTCAATTGAACTAACTTTGATAAATTTTATTTCAACACAACGATATGGACGACGCTTGTGTGACCATGTCATGAAAACCTAAACTCGGTGCGATGAATATTTTGAAGTTAAACCTCATTCATCATGCAATGCTCTTTTCCGATAGTCATGCTTTGGGAGTATGTTGAATATCTCTAACAGTGTTGAATGGAAGTTTTATAGGTGGGTAATGGTTTTTGCCATGAAATATGTTGTGATTTAAACATGTTTTAACAGATGGTGAATATGATGTAGACTTGTCAATGGGCAGAGCTTGAAGCGAATCACTCCTTGATCTAAACCTTTTTCAAAGCCCCGCATCAATAACCCTCAGCTTTTTGACTAATCGAATTCATAATTGTATCCGTTGAATCAATTAATACCCGACCATTTTATAATATTAAAATGATACAATTTTAATGTGTTCCACAAAGAAAATTTTATCAAAAAATGTAAATGTCTACAATAACAGAATTACATTACTAAATACTTAAAATCCAATACAATAAAAATTACATTTTACTTAGAGAATATATATATATATATATATATATATATATATATATATATATATATATATATATATATACATACAAAGAGAGAAAGAGAGATGTGTGTCCGTGCAAAGCAACGATGATAAATAGCTCTTTTGTCTGTTTATCCTATTGATGTAAATTAATTAATATCGGTGTCTAGTTTAAGAAATATAAATTAATTTATATACATGAATTAAATATTTTAAAATTGTTATTTTGCTCCAAATTGAATTTCTTAATAACATTCTTTAATATAAGTCTTCAAACTTTTGGCACATATTAATGATTTATTTATTCATAATTGATTTGTACCAAAAGTTTTGTAACTTACACCTCTTAAAATTCAATATATGACTATTACGTTTTATAATATAGTATAACATATATATATATATATATATCTATATATATATATATATATATCTATATATATATATTATATATATATATATGGAAAAGTTCAATAGAGAACCATAATTATTGGTTTCCAAGGAACCAAACTTTTTTTAAGTTCTAGAGCTTATTCTTTATTGGAAAAAAAAACTAAAAATACCTAAATTCATAACTTAACATTGTGAATGTTAAATATATTTTTCGGATTCACCGTATGAATTTAGATTCACATTGTGAATCTTCAAATATTCACATTGTGAATGTGATAACTCAAATTAAAATAAATATATAAGCATATGGTATAAATATATTATTATAATTATGATTAATGAATTAATTAGGAGTAAATAGAGAAATTATGGAATTTTAATTCCAAAAACCATCACTTGATTAGAGTCATAAATTTGGACTTTTGGGTTAACTAGAAAGGTTACAAACATGGGCATTAAAAGACATGAGAAATAGAGTGGAATGCCACAAAAATTGTGAAGAAAGGTGGAGAAACAAGGGAGAATTCGTTGAAGGAAGTTGTGAAGTTATTTTTCGTAGTTTGAACAATTAAGGTGCAGGTTAGCAACAAAGCTTCAGATAGGATTTGTCGGTTACAAGGTGAGTTTTTTTTTCGTGTTCTGTGGTTGCTCGCACATAAATGTTTATCATGCGTTTATTATGTGGTTTTTATTTATTTATTGACAGTATGTTTTATGATAAATATGGTTGCGTAAAAATGTATTTTGGATTTGTTATCTACTGGGTGTGTTTTGGATGACATGTTTAGCGGGAACGGATGAGTGTTTATTCGCCATGAGCATGACGGATGTGTGTGATCGGCGGGGATAGGAATTGAGAGTCATACTCATTTCCTTGGATATTTAAAATACTTGAGTACAATGGATGATGAGTTGTCTCAAGGAGAAGGGAAATGAACATTTGCTTCTTTCTCTGGATAATTAATCGTTCCCCTAAATTACGTCATCAGGTGATATGTTTGTTGTATGATTTATTGAAACTATATGATAAAACTATTTGTTTTTTTTAAGTGATGGACATGTATGTGCAACACGAACTCACTAGGCCCTAGGCTTACCCATTTAGAAACTTTAAATGTGTGCAACCCAGAAAACTATTTAGCAAGTGGCAGTAAGAAGGCAAGGAGAAGGATTTTACAACAAGACGATAAAGGAGTTCCGCAAAGACGTAACACCCGAAGTTCTTCAATTGAAGATTTTATTTTATTTTATTTTGCTTCCGCTGTAGTTTAGTCTATACGTAAGTTTAGAATTGATCATGGGAGATATTGGAACGATTATTTGTCATTTAATCGATAGTTGAAAATCGGGGTGTTACAAGTTGGTATCAGAGCGTTCTTTAAGCAGATTAGGTGTTTCCGTAAACACTTAAGCTTAGACGGAAGGAGCGAGAGGTAACACTAGAGCGGGAAGACATTCTAGTTGAATCCGAAGTTGCTGCACTCGGAGAAGTACTAGAGACTCCCGTAAACCCTACTTCCAGTTGTTGGCGTGGTCAAGGTCGAGGTGGAGGTAGGTGTAGGGGAAGAGTTCTAGGAATCGTCATAGCACCAGTACAAGCACAATTGGTGCAACTGAGCTCTAACTCCAATCGAGGTCATGGTCGGGGTCGGGATTACGGACAAGGTTGTACAACAAATATGGTTACTCGAGAATAATTAATTGACGAGATTGCTCAGGATATGCAAGCTACATTGTCGAATGTAAATGTTCAGGACCGAGATGCACAATAGAATGTGAATTGTGGCAACATGGTTGATGAAGAGCAAGGCTATGGATATAGTATGTCACTTCAAGTTTGTGACCCTAGTGTTGCAGTACGATCAAGGCAAGATGTAAACGACAAATGATGAGGTAATTGTTACAAGACGTTCATGACTTGTAAACCATGAACGTGTT